TATGCAAATTTTTTTGCGGCTGAAAAGTAAAATGTGGAAGGGCTTTTATGTCCCAAATTTTAAAAGAACAACTACAAAAAAGTGAAGTACAATATTATTCATTAGAAAAGTATTAAAAGTTGGACCAAATTGCCCTTAAGCTTTCCTAAATATGGCAAAAAACAGTCATGTTGAAAGTTGAAAAACTGTCTCTTCTATATAAGAGAAAATTATGAAATATCAAATTTGCCTTAATTAAAAAAAAATACAAATATTGCCCTTAGTCATTCTAATGTTACCTTAATTTTCATACCAAACTTCACAAAAGTTTCCAATTTGAAAGCAATTAATAAATCTTGAAAATGATAAACTTTTGATACATGATTGGCTATAGATTAATGATTGTGTTGAATATGATCAATTACTGAAAGGAAAGTAAACACATGTATGATCAAGCTGTTTTCTTCCATTAATACTTTATAAACATATTTTTAATTTAAAACAAATCAGGCTTGAATCGTGTAAACTATTATGATTTCTCAATTCTCATTCAATCTTTATATATGAGCAAATCATAGTTCATAAATAAAACATTGAAATATATTAAGTTGTCACTGATATATCACATATATCTATATTCTTTTTATAAATATAATCATAAACTTTCTAATACGCATGATTATATAAAGATCAATTAATCAATAATAGTAATAACTAATTAATGATTTATATTTTTATTTTAAAAAAATTACTACTATTTAAATAAAAATAATTATTTTTAGTAAACATGATAAAATAGAGTAAATTTGGAGAAAAAATTGACATCATAAATGGAATAAAAATGTATACTAATATACCATTGAAATGAGACTAATTACCTTATATTTATATTTTGCATTGTTTCCACTAATCACTTTGGCTTAGTTTCTCTAATTTATAGTTACTATCTCCATTATACAGCTTTTCAGACAACTTATAAGCTTCATTTTAAAATAAAACTAAAAAAAATTATGGGCAAGTATATAATCTTCTGTCTATCGGAGAATTGATTCCACTGGTATATAGTTTACTACTTACTGAAACAACAAAAAAAATGGTAAATAAGAACTTACAGTTGAAGCAAAAATATCACAAACTTCTGCTGAAATTTCTTAACACAACATTGTATCATAGTAGTAACTAATTCATTGGTTCTTCTGATAGTTATTTGATCTTCATATAATACAAGTTATTCAACTCAAATGATACAAAGTGAATATTCATCTTGCATTTCACAAACGAACTTAGGCATCTTGCTATTTCAGGCTTGATATGATAAATAAATTTGTCACGGTTTCGGCTTAAGTACATCAACAACCTCTGTACATTTTGAAACTGGATCCCGAGGAGAGGATAAAGTAATGAACTCGCAATATGTCTTCACAACGAAGCCTGACAAATTGTTCAACCGTGAAGTTACCTCCATGCTTCATCATCATTGCCAAATGACATTGAATGGGAAATCCTTATCTATTGTGTTACTATTCCATGGAATAAAAGTCACATTTCATTAGCAGTACATTCAAAGCAAGTTTCAAAGCTACAATAAAAAATTAAAACAAAATATCATATAGGACATGTATAAGCTATATGGAGGAATAAGTGATATCTCACTTCTTTCTAAGCTGCTGCCCTTTTCGAACCTCCCATCATGCACATTTGTACAGTTTGACTCCACAGTATTTTAAACTTTATCTAAACAATTCAGTGCTCTGACATTAATATACAATATATGCACAAACTCTTCCTTTGAGATGCTCGACATCTACATACCAGTCACAAGACAATGTCAATAAAATTCAACTAAAAAGGGTCAAAATAACTCCTGATTGCATTAAGAGATCACACTAATCATTTCCGCAATACAAACTAAGCATGAAAATGTTAAGAAAAAGGACAAAAATGGTCATTTCACAAATTAAAGCAAATTCACAAAAAATGAGACATTACAGATAGAAGGATCATATATACTCGCAAATTCAATTGGACGACGAATTCTTACATGGTCCATGGATTTAAGAATAATTATGATTGAAAAATATGGAATCCACATTAAATGTCACAATATTGGGATACACTTGGCATTTTAGAAAAAATGTTTGGATGTTTTTGTTTTGTATAATTATGACCAATTTTACTCTAATTTGTCGTGGTACTTTTTATGCTCTATTAAATAATGAATTAAAATTTATAATTTAATAAATTACTTTTTATTTTTTCATCTCAAATCAATATACTACTCACTCAATTTCAATTTGTTTATCTTACATTTTTTTTTAGTTTATTTCTTAAAACATGTATTTTTTTTCCTTTTTAATAATTCTTTAATTTTAATTTTCTACGTGATATTTTAATACCACAAAATTAAAGAGTATTTTGATATATTCAATATATTTTTGATTTAAGACTATAAAATTGAAATGTTTTCTTTACTCTTTTTTAATAAATTTATGTCAATTGAAAATAGAACAAACAAATAAAAACAAAAAGAGTATTTGTTTTTATAATTTCATTGTATATTTATATTTATTGTATTAGAGAAAATATAGTTTTATACTCACGTTAGTTATATTATGAATTAAAGGGAAGGAGTAGCAACTCACAGAAAATACATATGATATTAAATGTTAATTAGAAAAACTCTTATGACAAGGGTGACCGCTGACAACCATTTGAAGACAGACTTGGGCTCACATTTTTAGACGGTACACAAATTTTTTCAATTTTTTCAATGGGTAGAAACCACGTGACCATTTCAGCTTACTGTAATTGAATGATTTTTTTCAGAAATTTAATTTTTTTTTTGCGTATTGTACAACTTCTTGAAGCTGAATTTTTTGTTAATTTACAAAACTACCCTTGATCGTCCTCTTCATCACATTTCTATATAATAGAAATATATATATATATTTATTATGTTATGTTTTTGCTAATACGGAATGTTGTGTCTAGTGTATATATTTATATATATAATAGCCTTTTATATGAAACTAATTGTTTTTTGTAAATATGATGAATATAAATAATTTATGAATTTGTGAAGGAATAACAAAATACAACAATTGAGTAGACGGGATGTTACACTACTTTAAGAAAAAGAAAAAAGGTACTCTATATGACTTTTGAATGTTATTAACTTATTAGTATATTAAAAAAAAATAAGAAAATTACTGTGATAACTTTGAAGACAATAATGGGCCCTACATTTATAGAAGTTCATGTGATTACTGTTTTACTCTTCTAATATGTGGATAGCCATGTGGCCTCAAAAATATGCTAGAATTTGGATGGTTTTTCTGGAATTTCAATACTTCCCATGCACGAAGTACAATTGCTATTAAGCTGTACATTTTGCTTATTTACGAATTTGCCCTTGATCGTCCTCTTCCTCATGTTTCTATATAATAAAAATATGATTGCACTATTAAATCAATGAAATAAATTAAATAATTCTCTAAACTGTGTGTTTGATTTAATTTTTCATATTTTAAAAGACATTTTCGCCTTCAAATAATTTAATCTCCTGATAACTAATACATATGCTTATTCCTTTTTTTTATCACAAAATAAGATAATACAAAAAATTCACAATAACTTATCATGATATAATTTAACATCACCAACCAAACATTGGAGTAGTTATGATGACTCTCTCTTCTAATGGCATCTTCAACCCTATTTTAAAGAGTAAATCAACTCCAATTCACTATACTAAAAAGAAATATTTCTTTCATATTCTTCTTTCTCTTCAATATTATATTATTACTAGTAAAATTACCCGCACGGAAATTTAACTTCATGAAATTTATAAAATAATACTTAAAACATATTCGTCATTAAAACTAAAACACTATATTATCTTACATACAAGATTACGTAAAAAAAAACATTAATAATGTAAAGGAAAATTAAAATTATTACATCTTATCATTTATCATTAATAACATAAGCATAAATTAATGATTGTAAAAATACATACCATGATCTGTCACATAAACAATGGTGTCAGTGAGCCACTCAAGGAGGAGGAGGAGGAGGAGGAGGAGGAGGAGGTTCAGAATTTTTGTTGTTTTAAAATGAGAGAAAATCCCTCTATTTACAAACAACAAATGATAGTGTGAACAAATGTTTATTGTGCATTATCGAAAATGTTACAACTATTTGGAAAAGTTACAACATTTCATAAAAGTCGCAACTCTTCATTAAAGTCGCAACTTTTCATAAAAGTTACAATTTTTCATAAATGTCACAACTTTTCATGAAAGGGGAAGACTAGTTTTGAAAATAAATAAATTAAAAGGTAATTCTGGTTTGTGGTGACACCACGTAGGCAGGCCTAAGGTTCTTTTATATATATATATATATATGATTTTTTTTATTATTCATTTTATTTTTTTTATAAAACAAATAATTTCTTCTTTTTCTTTTTTCTACATATTCACCTTATAAAATTCATATTCTTTTCTACTAATTATTTAATATTGAATTCTTTATACAAATATAATTTATAATACACTTAACTTATATTTTATATAAAAATAATATATACAAAAATTAATTTATAAAAGTTATTCACAAAATTATATTAAAATTAATCTTATAAAGAAATTACATAAACATAATTAGGTATATTAGGAACTTAATTAAAAACTTACAATTTATAATATGTCAAATTAAAAGTTCATATAATACAAATAATAATAAAATAATATAAAAAGTGATCTGGTGTTGATGAAAAGTGTCACACCATGATACTAAAATATAGTGTTGGGTTGGAGATGACCTAATGCAGCCAACAAAACATAGCACTATCTCATACAAGATTTTATTTTGGGATTAGTTATTCCAATACAATCAACCAAACAACCCCTAAGTTATTGCCTTGACATATTGGCCTCAAAACTACAAATGAGAGCAAATAAGCATTTTCCCCTATCAAAATATGTGTGATGAATATAGTCCTAGATATCTAGTTAATGTAAAAACTCATGTAAATAACTACATGTTGTGAGCTACAAAATAAGTGAAAAACAAACAATTGAAATAGCTCATCTTAGAACAACCTTTAACTTGTTCTCCACCTGTTCTCTAACTTTCCACTGCATCCAAATACAAAAAAGACATTTACTAGTGGTAGGAGAAAGATGGTATAGATACATTTGAAAGAGGGTTTACCTGCAAATCATTTATTTCCTCGTCCATTAGTGAACGTTCCATGGACCGAAAAGCTATCCTATAGCAATGACTCGTCATTCCTTTCTTATTGGTGAAGTTGTCGATCAATTTCACCTGACAGTAGTAGGAATAGAAGCAACAGTCACTACCACGAAGTCATGTAACAAACACGAAGTACATGATGACCAAGAAATCTGTCTAGAGCCATCCTTCGGGGAGGGGATGATAGGCCCACCCTCTACCCTTCACCACTTAAATACAAGAGTTAGTTCACTACACGAACTCATGTTACAAACATGACTCTATAAACCAACTGTAGAACTGGCCAAACCTATAGCGCTTGGCTTCACTAGACAACCCTATCACCCTGCTCCCACCCCAGGGTATGATATGAAAATCACTCAACTCAATGCTTAAGATCAAATTACTAGACTTGGCATAGCTTACTTTGGAGTAATAAACTCATGACATCAATGAATAGCACCTTAGTAAGAGGAAACATTTCAAATATTCAGGAAGTCTTGCAGGATAATCTGGAATACACTCAAAAATTTGAATATTGGGGTATATTCAAGGACAATTAAATGGGAGAAGTTCAAAGCCACAACTGGATCCCTTTTCTTTTTCCTTTGTGATAAGCATTCACAATCAAATTTTTTAGCCAACATCATCTGTCTACATCTCTTGTACTGGAGAATTTGAGGTTTGAGTTTATTAAGCTAATAAGAGATTGGAGAATTTGAGGTTTGAGTTTATTAAGCTAATAAGAGTCAGTCCGACACATTGAAGAAGGGCCTCTCAATATCTTCAAGTTGAATTTGGCAGTAAGTAGAATCATAACATGGACGTACCTCCTCGGCAAGGTCTCCAGCAATTCCTCTAACAACTTCACAGAGTTCTCGGTAAATGAATCACGGATCCAGAAGCTCATGTCTTTATAACAAGGTGGATACTGCAATAATTAAGGAACTTAAGTCTCTTAAACAAGATCATAAAGTCTAATAGATCCACAAACAAAATTATGCAGTCAATGGACCCCTTAAGTACATTCTTCAAACAAAAAGTTATGAACTTAAGGTATGTTTGGTGTCTTTTCCTATTTTCCCATGTTTTGGTTGGCCAAAATGTTTTGGAAAATATTTTCTCTAGGAAAACAAGTTCCATAAAAATGAGGAAAATAACTTTCCTAGTGGAAGTAGAGAAAATAAGTTCCATGAGTTACGTTCCAAGTTCATTGTCTCCTCCCCACCCAGAACCCCACCTTGACATCCTAGCACCCACCACCCTTCAACTCCCACTCCCCACTCCACCCCACCCCACCCCCATAGTGATATGCTAGCTTACATATAAATGCTCTTAGGAAAATACCTTTTTGCTTACTTACCAAACACTAGAAAAAATAAGTAAGAAACCCACTTGTTTTCTAGGAGAACATTTTCCTTTATACTAAACACACCCTTTCTGAAAAATGAAATGCTAAAAGCACATATAAGAGTTGGATTCTTCAAAAGCTTAAAAACCCCCATAAGATAAACATTAGCAAACAAGTCCTACCTTGGAAAATGGCTTAAACTTCAGCCCAAGCCGGCCGGCCGCTAGAAAACTACATCATGATCAAGAAAATGTTACCAATCGCTACCAAAATCCAAACTGGCGATTAAAAAGGAGAGAGAGGAGGGAAGATGAAGAAATTACTTGAGAAGTGAACCGCTCATCAGTTGACCAGAAAAGTCGAATATCTGGAATATCAAATAAAACAATAGCCAAGCGCTCCAATCCAAGGCAAAATGCCCAAGCAACATTGTCCGTTCTACCACTTCTTTTCAATATTTCTTGTTCTGTCACTCCACAACCCAAAACTTCCATCCATTGATCCTGGAAAAGGATTTGACAGTTAGCAGATCCCAATAAAAACTATACTGGAAGGATGAGTGTACCTCCTATTTACTTTCAATAGCTCAAATTGGTCTTTGCTCTGGCTTTCTTCTCGAGATTTCATTTCTATCAATTGTAATTACGCAATACTTAAGTGCTCTCAAATTCTCCTGGGTAAAAAAAGCAGACTTGTCAAAAAATAAGGTAGTCCTCTTTACATTCTGAGGGATAAAACACCAACGATGCTCACTAATTTTTTTAACAAAAAGTTTCTCTTTAGCTGCTTCGAATGAATTGATAGTGTTGTGCTGTGCAGTACATAAACTAATAAACAATCATTTCCTTTGTAGTGAAGAAAAATAATTTACAATTTGTATCTTCCTTTCCTCTATGCTGGACTCCTTGTTGGCACACATCCTTAATCTTCCTACTTTATATCTCCAACAAAATTCCATTTATTGACTGAATTCAAAGTAACGACAGCTAGCTCACATAATTAGAGAATGGCAAATGATGCGTGTGTCAAAAGCATGCTTGACACTCTTGAGCCACAGTGAAAGAAATTGTTTAATTAGGTGATAAAGTCTCACTCTTTTAAACTATTGATAAATGCAGGCAGAATAACCTTACCATTAGACTTTAAATGTTATGTTAAGTTAAACCAAAGGGACTTTGGGGAAATCATGTCTTGCCCCTCCAAAATAAATATAAGAACCCCTTCAATACCCAAAAAGTAAAACAAGAAGAAAGGGAAGGTGAGAAAGTTACATATTAAGATACTCCAGCTTGGTAACAAACTACCCCTGCTTGGGCAATTATGTCTCACACCTCCAAAATAAATATAAGAACCCCCTCACTACCCAAAAAGAAGAAGAAGAAGACGAAGAAGAAGAAGAAGAAGGAGAAGGTGAAAAAGTTACATATTAAGCTACTCCTGCTAGGTAACAACTACCCGTGCTTCTACACATTTTATAGCATCTTATTAGACAATCTGATGAAACCACAAAAATAGCTCGCATATTATTCTGGACTTTAACATTTGGAGAGGAGGAAATAAAATAAACAAAAGCAAGAAACTATGCAAAGTTTACTTGAAAATATATCTCCAGTTCAAATGATGGACTAGTAAACGGGAAATAAGTGTCAACCCAGCGCATTTCCACCCCACCTGAAGAATTTAGAAAGATTAGGCTGGAGATTCATAAACTTTGTCAAGAAAAGGAAATTTTGTATTAGAAAGATGGTTTCTGAAGAAGAGGATAAGTTACAAGATTTATACATGAACATCATCAATGAAGTAAGATCGATAAAATTTGGAATAGCAGCAGAGGATTGGACCCCTCCTGAGTCAATTGGTCACCAAGTACATTATAATATCAGATAAGTACTTCCATAGGCACTGTAACTTCTTACAGTGACTTCAACCTATAATCTAGAAGTTTTCCCTAGCCTTCCATGAACATAAATAGCTGGCATCTAAGGACCAACTGCTAATGACTTAGGAAATTATGTAGTAAGAGATTCGTTGCACTACCGAAATTTAAATGGTAAATCATAGTCAAATCACCACCACTCATTATTGGTTTGCTATCCCAATAATTATATGGTAAATTAGTATCAAATCATTACAACTCACTTTAGATGAGATATAAGCTTTGTACCAAATAGATGCTGAGCCAAACCCTCAAGACATTTCTTCAGAGCTTCTGCAGCATGTGACGTTGCATCAGTACCTGAAGCCTCCCAATCATTTGGAGCAAAGACCCCTACACCCTCCATCTACACAATATGGAAGAAAACCATTAGAAGGGTGACAATCAGCAATGTCAGTAGAAAAATATGTTTGAAGGTAGAGAACCTGGTGGAATACAGGGTAGTGAGTTGAGTCAATGGAATCTCTACGGTACACATCTCCAGTATCAAGAAAATGGGTGTATCCATTCCTCAGTAACTCAGCTTGATGTGCACTGGTGTGGCACCTTAGGACAGTTTGAGAATCCACATAATATGTGTCATTGTAACTCCTGCTTACATGATCAGCAGGTACCAACACTTCATCAAAGTTCTACAGGATGGAAGAAGAAAGCAACAGAAGTTAATTAAAACTCTTACCAAGATAATAAATGAAATAAAGAGAAAAAACATCTCAAGTACAGTATATGAATATCCCATCATTAAACATGGATGAACACAAAAGACGAATTGGTATAAGAAGAAAAAGCAGCACAACTTAGAAAAGCTTTATTGAGCATAATGTAGTTACAATACAAACCTAGATATGCTTTTAAGTAGTTAAGAGCTCATGACAGGATTATACTTTGGTCTATTGACAGGCGTCTGTGTGCTGCTGAAAACACAAGATGCACAAAACAAATATGGTGTCTAAAGATACATTTTTTCCTTTGGGTTGAAATTCAGGACATCCAAACCATAAAAAAATGATCCATTAAAAACTTCACGGGCAAAAATTTCTCACCGCCTTGGAAGGAAAATTACAGCTATATCAGCTAACCTATCATCCATTCCCCCAGATTAACTTTCAATCAGCAAGATTCTCAAATATCTAAGATTTCTAGAGCTAGTAGGTCTAGGTCCAGCATTTCTAAACTATGGATGTGTTTAGTATGAAGGAAAATATTTTCCAAAAAATATTCTCTCCCATGTTCGGTTGGTAAAATATGTTGGAAAAACATTTCCCTAGATATACAAGCTCAAAAATGAGGAAAACGACCACTGTAATGAAAGTAGGGAAACAAGTTCTACCAGTGGCATTACATATTGATAGTGTCCTCCCCACCCTCCAACACACCTCATCTTCACCCCCACCTCCATAGCCCTCATCCCCACTATCCACACCTCTACCTCCCCTCCCATAATATTGTCTAAATTATATACAAATGTTTTTAGGATTATATTTTGTGCTTACCTACCGAACACAAGAAAATAAGTAAGAAACTCGATTATTTTCCTAGAAAACATTTTCCTACATACCAAACACACCCTATGTGATGACTTCAAGTCATAATCTGAAGCAGTTACACTCCAGTTAAGATTAAATAAAGAACCGATATATAACACTACAAGTTGGCAAAGTGTAATGACCCTCCTGGTCATTTCTGTATCTTGCCTTCTGTGTGTCGTTTAGAGCGTTCCTGTAGCGACCCCGAGTCATTTATGACTTGCTGGGACTGACATGTTGGTCACCTGGTCGTTCGTTTGGTTATGGTGCGAGTTTTAGTGTTATGAACCTTGAACGATCATTTTCGATCAAAATTTCAAGAAGATGACATCGAAATTCAATTCTGATTAGTAGCATGGTCGGCAGGACTCCCGAGGTTTTCAGTGTGAGTCGGTGCGATTAGGCGTTTTAACTTTAAGTCTAAGTTTGACTTTAGTCAACATTCTGAGTAAACTCGCTCAGATGAGAATTCCGTCAGCGCGGTTAGCTCTGAAATGTCAAGTTTGGTCTAGATTGACCCTTCTTTTGTGTCCCGAGCCCTTTTGTGATTTTTGACTTAAAATGGCATTTGGGTGTGGGACCCACTTTTTGTTAAGATAACCTTGTATGAAAATTTTGACTGTGCCATTGAGTTCAAAATATCGAATTTGGTATGTTTGCATATCTCGTTTGCGTGCATGGGGTTCCGAACGAGTTCGGAGCACCCCGTCGAAGTTTTGGGGAAAATGCAAAAAAATCTGCACTTTTGGAAAACGTTAAAAACCTCATCTCTCAACCGAATTAGGCGATTCAAAGTGCGGGAGCTTCGTATTTTCGGTGGCTTCACTGTAGAGTGTTCGGAAGTTGTCGGGTGAGCGTAGTTCGAAGTATATTTCGCGATAAACCTGACTACTGTACCCTTTTTCGAGCTTTTGTTTTTGGCATCCTTGTTTTGGTTATATCTCACTCATTTTAGCTCGGTTTTGGGTGATGAAGGCCCACGTGTTGGGAATTATCGAGGCTATGTCGTGGAGTGTTCAAGGAGTGTTGGCATCATTAGATTCTTGTAAATTTCAAGATTAGACTGCTGCATGTTTTCTTTTAAGTTGATTAAAGTGTGGTTTTCTTGCGTGTTGGGTTTTGTTGCGTTTTGAGCCTCGAATTGTGTTCCATTTTGGAACACAAGTTCCGGGTACTGTTTAGGGTCTCTTAACGGAGTCAAATTCGGACAGTTCGGTGCGGGTCCCATGATTCCCGTTTTGACTCCAAAATTGACCGTCTCCATTTGTTGTGATTTTGGTGTCTAAACGACCGTAATAACGTTGTGACTCTATTTTTGGTAGCGTGGCAGCATTTCGAGGCCGTTCGAAAAGGAAAAGCTTTGGAGGAGTGATTTTGGAGCGCGCGTGATCGGCCTACATGTAGGCTACGGCTTCCCTCTCTTAGATTGAGTTCGAGAGTGTGAATGCATGTTGATTAGTTGGGATTTGGGTTGGTAGTTATTGAATCATGCATATGTATTTAGAAATCATGTTTCGGCCTCTTTCGGGAATTATCGGGTAACTATGAGCATGCTATGTGTTACTAATTGACCCTTTTTGCTATGTGGAGTGCTTGAATGCTTGATTATTGTTTATCTGAAGCATGTTGGGCCTTAGTTTAGGTTTGACTAGGACTTGCCTTAGAAATACATGATTCGGATCTGATAGGCCTTAGTTTTACCCCGACGTCGCTCGGCCGACTTAGATCCCTGCAGACTGGTGTAGTAGACTTGAGTCTGATAGTTTGGGCATTAGTTAGGCGATACGCTTGCTTCGACGATAGCTATCCTTATTTTCCCCAATGTTACGGCTTCACGAGTTACGTCAGCGACACTAGTTCTGCTTCGCGATTTGAATTTGATTTTTGATTCGATTCCAAGGACTTACATTGATTGGCTAAGTGTGGACGGCGTTCCACGAACATTTATGAGCATGGATCGATTGGGACTCTTTCAGCAACTACATTGGCACCTTTATAGAGCATCCGGTTTAAGGTCCGACCTCAATCGCCCAGATACTTATATAGAGCATCCGATTTAAGGTCCGGCCTTTATCACCCAGATACTTAAATAGAGCATCCGATTTAAGGTCCGACCTCTATCGCCTAGATACTTATATAGAGCATCCGGTTTAAGGTCCGACCTTTATCGCCCAGATACTTATATAGAACATCCGGTTAGAGGTCTGGCCTCAGTTACTTGATACTTGTGATTGGTTACTTGGGTACTTTTGGTGAGCATCTGGTTCGAGGTCCAGCCTCCGTACTGTCAGATTCTACTAATTGGGGTTGAGGTTCTGGTTCTATGTTCTCCGTTCTTGGGTTCTCATATGCAATTCTCTTTAGTTATAGTTATTTTGTGTACTCGTCGGGCATATGGGGTCCGTTCGGGTTTTAATTAAACTTGTCCACGAGTGTACCTTCTGGGCTTATGGGGTCTAGTTAGATGTAGTTAGCTTATAGATTACTTTAGTTAGTTCTTTCTACACTCGTGTGCATTCCATTGTTACTTAGATTTCCGTTCTTGACCTCTGTTTGTGTTATTCCTTCTTTTCATATTGCCTTTACTTTTCAAGTTCAGTCGGCCTATGATGCCTACTGGGTACCTGCTGTTGTGGTACTCATGCTACGCTCTGCATCTGTTTCGTGATGCAGGTCCGAGCACCAGTGGCCAGCGTTGATCCAATTTGGAGTAGTCTGATCCGGAGACGAGGGTGAGCACACGAGGTTTTGTACTATTTCAGTCTCCATCTGTATATATAGACTTGTTTTTACCTTTCGAGACAGTCCAGTCTATGTGGTCCACTTTTGGGACTTGTACTCGTTTTGTTAGTAGCTCTGTACTAGTGACTTCCAGGTTCTGGGAGGGATCTTTATTTGTTATATGTTTTGATTTGCTTCCGCCTGTTTATATTGTTATCTTTAAATTTTGCCTACTTTTGTTTAGTTTCTGCCCTCAAACCCATTACTTGTTTTCCGGGTTACGAGTTGGCTTACCTACTGGTGGGTTATAGTAGGTGCCATCATGACTCGAGGAATCGGCACCGAACTGTCCGAATTTGACTCCGTCAAGAGACCCTAAACAGTACCCCGAACTTGTGTTCCAAAATGGAACACAATTCGGGGCTCAAAACGCAGCAAAACCCAACACGCAAGAAAACCACACTTTAATCAACTTAAAAGAAAACATGCAGCAGTCTAAACTTAAAATTTACAAGAATCTAATGGTGCCCAGCACTCCTTGAACACTCCACGACGTAGCCACGATAATTCCCAACACGTGGGCCTACGAATCACCCAAAACCGAGCTAAAATGAGTGAGATATGACCAAAACAAGGATGCCAAAAACAAAAGCTCAAAAAATGGTACAGTAGTCAGGTTTATCGTGAAATTTACCTCGAACTACGCGCACCCGACAACTTTCGAACACTCTACAACGAAGCCACCGAAAATACGAAGCTCCCGCACTTCGAATCTCCTAATTCGGTTGAGAGATGAGGTTTCTAAGGTTTTCCAAAAGTGCAGATTTTCTGCATTATCCCCAAAACTTAAAAATTTTGATGGGGTGCTCCGAACTCGTTCGGAACCCTGTGCACGCAAACAAGATATGCAAACATACCAAATTCGATATTTCGGACTCAATGGCACAGTCAAAATTTCCATACGAGGTCATCTTGACAAAAAGTGGGTCCCACACCTAATGTCATTTTAAGTCAAAAACCACAAAAGGGCTCGGAAACCTCGGGACACAAAAGAAGGGTCAAACTAGACCAAACTCGACATTCCAGAGCTAACCGCGCTGACGGAATTCTCATCCGAGCACGTTTACTCAAAATGTTGACTAAAGTCAAACTTAGGCTTAAACTTAAAGTTAAAACACCTAATTGCACCGACTCGCACTGAAAATTTCAGGAGTCATGCCGACCATGCAATTAGCCTAAAATGACCCTTCCGGAGCTGATGGAATCGTCAGAATTGGATTCCTATGTCATCTTCTTGAACTTTTGATCGAAAATGATCGTTCAAGGTTCATAAGCTCCAAAACACTAAAACTCGCACCATTACCAAACGAACGACCAGGTGACCGAACTGTCAGTCCCAGCAAGTCATAAATGACTTGGGGTCACTACAGGAACACTCTAAACGACACACAGAATGCAAGACACAGAAATGACCAGGAGTGTCATTACACAAAGTAACCCCTCTATAGGATGAACAAATTCACACCAGTAGTTACAAGTATTTCTTCAATAAACGTGTTATGTTTCAAAAAAAAACTTTTCCTATCCCAAGTCCAATGATAAACTTATTTTCCAGTTTGATACCATCATTGAGCTATTCTTCCTATTCTTTATAGAGCATGTAATAACACAAACAAGAGATGTAAGTCAAGCAGTTAAAAGAGGTAGCCATACTGAATAGTATTTCAACTTATCATTGAGAAACATGATGATTCTAACGGCTTTTTCATTACCATTCTCTATAGGTTAGTGGCTGAATGGTTGACATGTCTAACTCATAATTGACAGGTAAAAGTTATATTGGCCTTACAGCTAATACAATTAGGCCTTCAGGAGTAGGAGGTAGAGTCCATTACAACAGCAACAAAGCCTCGGTCCCAAACAAGTTGGGGGCAGGCTATATGAATCCTCACTTCTTCATTTAAGCTAAACTCAAATCATCATCATACCAAATAAAATAAAACTACTTTTTTTATACACACACATATAAATATAAATAATAGTAATAATAACAATAATATAACTTTTCTAACAAGTCTGAAACCTATTTACAACTAGTAGAGGAACCCCATGAATAGGCCAAAAAGAATGGCTTGTTAGGACCCTAACTTTACTGAAAAATCAAACAGATACTTATGCTAGCTATATGAATAAAGAAAAGGCTTGATCAATGGGATAAGAAAGGAACAAAATTCTAGCACATAAAATCCAGAAAGCAAATATATAATTAAAAAGAAAAAATCACGAAAAGTGCAAAAAATGCTTCCTTAACCTTCTTGGACCAACCTGTCTAACAGAAACTATAGGGCACAGATCATCAAACTTGTCGAACTTGTCTGGATAGTTTGTGTCAAAATAATCATAGATTGCATTCTTAAGGATGCCAAGTGGATGGTGGTTCCTCCTATGAAGCTGCATTCCAAGCTTTGCAAATATTGTATCCGGAATATTGTTTGTGGGGTCATCCCTTACTATTTCTGCATATGCAATAATCACCTTAGTACCAATAACCAGATGATAGAACAAAACATTCTCTTTGTTAAAAGTTCCACCAAGGCAGTACAAATGTCAAAAAAGATGGAAAACAATCTTTACTGACAAAATACAAAGGATATGCATAAGGCCACTGTTATAAGTGAAAATAGAAACTGTCTGTACTTATTTTAAGAAACCACAGCAAAAGAAAAAGAGAAATATAAAAGATAAGCCATATTAAGATTTCTTTGGCTACTTGCTTTCGTGCCTCTAAGAGCTTTCTGTTGGCCCCAGAGGACCAATTCTATTTGAAATAGAAAGTACATGAATAAGGAAACAAACTTGATAGTTAATGGACTCTTCAGCTTTACACAAACATGTACCTTCTTATAGGTTCTGGTGGAAACATTGATATGTCAATACAATTTACTAAATTGAAGTTGGAATGACCTGGTGAAAATTGGTGTGTTTTTTAGTAACTACCCAGCTAAACAAGAAATTTATTAGGAACTCTGAAATTTTCAGATGAACAACTGCCCAGACATTGAAACTGCACAGAGTACATTCTTTTAAAATTCTTCTTGAAATTGAGAATGAGTGATTGTGAAGTTGAGAATATTCAAAATTTGAAAAGCTGTGATCGAGGAACCTGCAAATTTCAATACACATGAGCTATCAAAATTCAAACTTGAATAGCCACCAATAGTGGGGAAACTATAACATTCCAATGTCACTAAATACCATATGAGAGATTAACATTCTAAGATCAAAAACGTTTGAAGTTTAGTATCCCTAGTCATGTAAATGAAGATTGGAGTGAATACACCAAAGGATAAAACTTGAACCTTCAAAACTAATGCCCCCCCGCAAATCAAAATTGCAAACCATTATTTTCTTTTGATAACCAAGAAATTCTCCAGGAACATTGCATGGTTCAAAACTTAGATAATGGACCTACCTCTCTATTCTTTTCCCCTTAAATACCGGACTTTCTCTGCAATCACGTTTGCATCCTTGACGTACGCCTAATTCACATCATGCACTGTGCTCTTACTCCTAGACGAAGGCCCTTGGAGCTCCTCAAAAATGCAAATTTTAATGGCCTCCAATGGGGAGCTGACTACAAAATACCATTTCAAAAACGACCCAGGAGCTGTTACTACAACTTTTGCGCCTCAATCCCAAACTAGCTTAAGGTTGACTATACAAATTCTCAATATCAATTCTGCTTCATTTTGACACAATTAGACCGACCCAGATGAAATTTGATTCTAAAATCACAAGAATTCAAACTTTACAAAACTAGATCATGTATATGAAAATTGGTCTCCTCCAAATGCAAACTTTAATAGCCTCCAATCGGGAACTTACTACAAAATACCATTCCATAAACTAGGGATGGGTGTTCGGTTCTTCACTGGTGCATACCGAGTGGTTTTTTCTAATTTGGTTCAGTTCTTCGATACACGTATGATAAAATGGGCTGTATTTCTGTTTGTAACATGAGCTACTTTTAAATTCAAAATGGGCTATTTTGTGTTTTTTATTTAAAAAATTGGTCAAGGTCATGCATCTATTAATTTGATGTAAATAATCGGTGCGATTTTACCCATAAGCAAAAGACGGATAATTGAAATCGAGCAATCATAAAATGATGATTAAATGAAGAATCGGAGATGGATAAATAGATTATTAGTTTTGGTAGCAGCTCCTGGGTTCTTGTTGTACATATTTTGACAGCAAATTTAAACAAAATTATTAGAGAGAAAGGAAGGCAATTGCATAAAATTTCACAATTAAAGTAGCCACTCACAGAGATATTTGCTGTCAAACAAGAATCAAATATGTGTTTCCATTATCTGATTTACAACTGTAGGTAATACTCACTTGCATATTGATGTTTACCATCAATATGATGACTGCTAATACTCTTAGGGGTCGTTTGGTTTGAATATGAGTTATGATGGGATAAGTTATGTTGGGATAAGTTATGTTGGGATTAGTTATGATGGGATAAGTTGTCCTGGGATTATTTCTTATTGAGTGTTTGGTTTGTTATATTCAAAATAATATATATTGATAAATTTTAAGAACAAGTTGTTTGTTTACAAAATTACCCTTCACTTTATTTAAACTTTTTAAATTTTTCTTTGTGAGCTTTAGTTATTCATTTTTTAAAATAAAACTTTTATTTTTTTTAACTTAAATATTTTTGTTTATGTATTCCCATGATAAGTACCATGTGTATTTAAAAATATAACTTTTTTCTTATTTAGCTTAAAAATAGAACTTTCCTCTTAAGTTTATTAAAGAGAAGAAAATTTATGAGAAATCAAAATAAAATAAACATAAGAATTAGTCAAATAAATTCATAAATAAAAATTATATTTATATAGTATAATTTTTTAATAGAAAAATATGTATAATTATCATAAAAATAAGGAGTAGTAAATATTATTATACATGGTATTAAAAAAAATGTAAATATACATAAATGTAAAAAATGATATATAAAAAGGATTTAAAGGGACATATTTGTCATTTACCTATTCTATCTCGGGATAAGTTATCCCGGGATTACTATACCACCCATGGGGAGGGATAACTTATCCCGGTACTAATTATTAATCCCGGGATAAGTTATCCCGGACTTGCCAACCAAACAACATAATTTTTTTTTTATCCCATCACTATTTCCTTATCCCATCACTATTATTTCTAATCCCTCACACCAAACGAGCCCTTATAGCAGTCTTTCAAAATTTAACAAAACACAAAACCATATCTGGAACTCAAAAGTCAAAACTACCACAGAAAATGCCAAGCTTACAACAATAACAACATACCCCGTGTAATACCACAAGTGGGGTCTGGGGAGGATGGTGTATACACAACCTTACCCTCACCTTCACGATGTGAAGGTAGAAAGGTTGTTTTCGATAGACCCTTAGCTTGAGTAAGTATCAAAATTAAGTAAGTAAAGCAAATACAATAGCGAAGAAGCCATGCAGAAAACAACTAAGATGGAACAAGTAAAATAGCGGAGAAGCCATGCAGAAAACTACTAAGATGGAACAAGTAACTAGAGCAAAGGAAACAACAAATACCAATAAGAGATCTAGACAACGCCCGACTACCAACTAACCTTCTACCTTAATCCTCAACCAACACCTCCAGTCTTCCTATCTATCTAGGGTCATGCCTTGGTAAGCTGCAGGTGTGCCAAGAGAAAACGCCAAGCTTGTTTAGTAACAAAACAAAACAAATAAATAAAGAATTTTCTAACATAACTGAATCACAACATTTGGAGGAACCCCTCTATGAACTTAAGGGTGCCAACAGCTATATATAAGAAAAATTGGCTCTTCAATCACCGAACGGAAAACTGAAGTTCTGAAAAATTATTGTCTACGAAAAAACAAATTAATTCAGTTCCATCCGATTTTTCAGTATTTTTTTTTTTGTTTTTTTCGTTTTTATGCCTACCCCTACGACCCAGAAGCTAGTACTACTACCACTACGCCTCAATCCCAAACAAGTTTAACTGTTGCTTCTACAAATCCTTAATATCAATTCTGCTCCATTTGAACCCAATTAGACACACCCAGATAAGAAATTCGATTCTACAATCATAAAAATGCAAACTTTAATAGCCTCCAATGGGAAGGTAACTACCAAACACCATTCCATAAACGACCCAAACTAGCTTAATGTTGGCTGAACAAATCTTCAATATCAGTTCTGCTCCATTTGGACCCAATTAAACCTACCCATTATAGACTGTATAGTTATAACAATTCAAAATTTACAAACCCAAATCAAACTGAACAGATAGATAGAGGGGAAAAACTTGTTATTCTATTTAAGTAACTGTAACTGACCTTCTTTGGAAATCTTGAGTCCACCGAGCTCGAGAGCGGAGACTAGTACAGATTGCCTCCTTTTGTGATGATGGACTCTATCTACTGGAAGAGACGAAGAAGAAGAAAATGAAGAGAAGGGTATACGAAGTCGAATGCCATTTTTTGGAAGGTATAAACTGGAGCTAATTGAGGTGAAGGTGACAAAAAAGTCTTAAAATTAAAATTGGTGAAAAAAAATATTGACCAAGTCAAACCTCTTCTTAATTAGTGATTAAGATAATTAGGGATTAAAGTGTAATATTTAAAACTTCTAAACTTTTAAAAATATTCAAATAAACTCATTCTAATTGTCTTTCTTTTTCTTTCTTGCAACAGTAGCTTGAAGCCCATTTCCAATTGTATTTCTTTTTCTTCCTTGCAACAACTTGTAGCAGAGAGACGAATTGTTGAGAAAATATTGTTGGTGACTTCCAATACCTTCGTCTTGGTCTTCTTCGTCATAGCCGTCTTCTACCTCAAGGTAACACTCTTTTCTTTTCTTTCATTGTTAGGGTTTTGAGATGGTAAAGATTGAAATTTCATTGGGTTTTATTAGGCCTTCTTTGTTTTTAGCATGTGGAAGTTTGTGGGTTTAACGATTTTGCTTGATAGGGTTTTCTTGGGGAAAAAAATGTGGGTCTTTTACACAAGATTTGTGTGCTTTCATTGATCCTTCTATTGTTTTTTTTTGTTATCTATGTGGAGTTGTTCTTATCTTCTTCTATGTGGTGATTGATGGCTCTTTAATGTTTGCATTTTACTGTTTTGCCCTGTTTTAGGTTCTTGTTTCCTATAGGAAAAAAAGAATTTGGTTGCTTTTGAGGTAAATGTTTGAGACATTAGATGTGTCTTTCTTGGACCTTTAATTGTTGCTCATCTTATGGAGAATGTTGTTCTTAGAGATCATTTATTTTTATTAGTCTTAAGTTAGTTTGATCATTGGTAGTTAAGCACTGCTATTAGTTGTTATCTTCCAATATTATGATGTTCGTTAACTCTTGGGGGGGGGGGGGGGGGGGGGTGTTTCACAGAATGTATTATAGTTACTAGTAATATATTCATTTTTTTCAAGCCTATGGTTTTGTTCATGATTTAAGAGGAGAAGTGTAGTATGCTTTTGTCACTTCCTGATGTTGTTGTTACCTTATTTTATAGTATGCTTTGTATACAACAATAATAATTATTATACCTCAATCCCAAACAAGATGGCATATAGATGATTTGCATATATACTTCAAATAACATACATGCATCCAGCCAAATTTTGATGATATATTTATAATTGTTTACCCTATTTCTTTATGTGGTTTTGAAACTAACTTTCAAAATTATCTAAATGATAATTAATTGTCTTTTTTTATTATTACATTTTGATTTTATTGTTTTTATATATAGATTGTGCATCCATGACTCCAAGGAAAAAACGAACAACTCCTACTAAAACGTATGAAAGGCGAATCAGAACACAAAGACAAAGAGAAGAAGAACTAGAAAACACAAATTTGAAAAAATCTATAGAAGAAGAAGGAGAACATGAAATAGATATTTCTTCTACAAATGTAGAAAGAGATGATACAACAGTTGAGGAGGAACAAAATGATATAGCCATTCCAGAAAAGGAGACATCTCCTATTGTTGAACTATCTCCGCTCAGTCCTTCACCCGATAACTTCATTGTGAAGTCGATTAGGTATGCAAATTACAATTTGGAGTCAATGATTGATAGGTATCCAAACTTAAGAGGTTCTTTAACTGTTAAGTCGGAGTTACGTAAGTTTTCTAAATTTAGAACGATTTTAGAAGAACAAAAATTGGTAAAGTTCTTTTGATCTTCTATTTTCGGAAATTACTTACAACTTGAAGGTACTCGTATAAGATTTCAAATGAGTTTAGTCTATCAACTTCTTCGACGTCAAATTTATAGCCATCGAAAAAAAGAAATTTGGATAAATTATAGTGGCATGCCCATTTGTTTTGGAATGAAGGAGTTTGCTATCATCACCGGCTTAAATTGCCATAATGAAGATGTGTATGATGTTGAAAATATGTCAACTAAGACAAAAATGAGACGAAAAGAAATTCTTGAGGTTGTGGGAAGGAGTTGCAAGAGAAATGAGTTGATTGAACATCTCCAAACCAAAAATCTTAGTAAAGATGTAAAAAAATCATTGTGTTTACTTTATTTTCTTCATAACTTTCTTTGCCCAAAAGATGTGAATACAAATATTCCAAAGAAGTGGATTTTGCTCTCGGCAGATAGAAAAGCATTTTCTGCTTATCCATGGGGTTGTATTAGCTATGATATTACAATTAAGCATCTATTGAAAGCGGTGAAGACTATTGATGGGAAGACTACCAATCTTTATGGCTTTCCATGGGCCTTTATGGTAAAATTTATTTTAGTTTAGTTCATATATATATTTATTTCATTATTTTTTGGTGCTTCCAATATTTTGATCTCCTTTTGTGATTATTTTATGTAGTGTTGGGCATTTGAGGTTGTTCCTTTCCTCCAAAAGAAATATAAGGTGTTTTCGAAACAAGTGTCTTCACCGAGGATTTTTTGATGGCTTTTGGCGACTAATAACGAATTAGTTGACATTAATGACTTGTTTGATCCCCCTCAAGACTCAGTAAGCATTATTCTTTAAACATTTTTAGTTAAAGTGAAATTGTTGTTGCTTTTCTGATTTTGTTGTTGCCTTTTCAACAAGTGTTTTCTTTGTTTAATTAGTAGATGTCAATTGTTGAAGTTATTACAACAATTGCTGGAACAATTAGAACAACTGGTATATAATAATCTTTAAATGCAACAATTGCTTTATCACATTTTAATTATTATTATTTTTACATGTAGATTGTGCATCCATGGATAATTCCTACATCTAGTGAAATGGAAATGGAATTTTTCACTAAGTTTATGCCTAAGAAATTAACCAAGGATGATAAGATTGAAAAGCTTGAGATAGATTTGAATGGTGTTGTGGCTATAAAAAGAGACATCATAATTGATGAGCATAATCTTGATGTAGGAGGTGAAGGAGCATCTTCTCCAATTTTTGAGAGAGTTTTTAGTGGTGTTGGTGATGGAGGGGGAGGAGAATTTACTCCAAATGTTGATAGATGTACTGATGGTGTTGATTTCGAAAGAGGAGGAGACTTCGGTGATATAAGTGGTGATTTTGGAGTAGGAACATCTTCTCCGATCGATGAGAATGTTCCTTGTCTTCAAGAAACTCCATCCACTAAGGAGACGATAGATTTATTGAATGTCAGGGTAGAGTCTTTAGAGAAAACTATCGTCACCATGAATGCTAAGATTGAGTCTTTAGAGAAAGCTATCGTCACTATGAAGTCTAAGAGAGCTATTAGGCCATCATCAAAGATTTCTCATCCATATACTCCCGACTATGTTAAAAGAACAAAGAGACAAATTTCGAAGGCATTGTCAAGTGCTAGAAAAAAGAAAAAGGGAAAAGTGAATGAGACCATTATCGAAAAAGAATTGGTGTCCGAAAATAGTAAAGGTAAAGTTATATTCTAATCATCTTTCTAAGATTTGCCTTGTGTTATATATATTTCATTTTTTTAATATTACAGATGAAGGGGCTGATATTGCAGATGAAGAGGCTGATTCGAATTCAAAAAGAAGTTGAAAGAGTGATGAAGAAGGGGCTGCTTGTGAATATGCATTTTTACCACTATTTTGCTACACTTTTAATTCACTTTTGTTGTACATTAGTGAATATGGTATTTTGAATTTAATGAATTGAAGGGGCTGCTTGTGGGTATACATTTTTACCACTATTTTGCTACACTTTTTAATTCACTTTTGTTGTACATTAGTAAATATGGTATTTTGAAATTGATGAATTCAAAAAGGAGTTGAAAGAGTGATGAAGAATGGGCTGCTTGTGAAAATGCATTTTTACCACTATTTTGCTACACTTTTAATTCACTTTTGTTGTACATTAGTGAATATGGTATTTTGAAATTGATGAATTGAAGGGGCTGCTTGTGGGTATGCATTTTTACCACTATTTTGCTACACTTTTTAATTCATTTTTGTTGTACATTAGTAAATAGGGTATTTTGAAATTGATGAATTGAAGGGCTGCTTGTGGATATGCATTTTTACCACTATTTTGCTACACTTTTAATTCACTTTTGTTGTACATTAGTGAATATGGTATTTTAAATTTGATGAATTGATATTTTAATTGGAAAAAAAAATTGTGATGTTAGTGAACTAGT